CTTTCCTATTGCTTCTCAATTCTTTTATGTTTCACGTTACAGTGGAAATAACTACATGTTAATATTTTCTTTTTTCAAATCAAATAATGCCAAATTATGCCTGATTCATGGTGGTGAATGGTGAAAGGAAAAAAAAAAACAAAGAAAAGTAAGAGCTATCACTAAACTAAACTAAACAATCATTTCAGGCCGCAGCTCATCTTCAGGAGATTATTTTTACTAACGACAAATAGTACATTCCCGTTAGGATCTCTAATGTGTGCATATCATATGCCTTTCACTGAAGGATGGAGGTCTGACTCTATACACGTGAGCATGAGCTAGAATTAATAACTGGGGTTAGTAAAGTAAATCCTTCTTGAGAAGTTTCTCACTAAGGACGTTCATAAATGCTCCTGTGACATTCACTGAAAAAGCAGTTTAGTGCTTAATGAATACTACTAACACTAATCAGTAATGGTTCAGAGCACAAAGTATTGTTTCAAAGTCTGCAATATGAAATCTAATACCAGCAGCATGATCATGCCATATTATTTACAAACCATGTTCTGTCTACACCAGCTAGACTAGAACACCAATTGAACATTCAGAAACAATTAAAACAGGCAAAAAAAATATATTGCAAATGTATAGAGTTCTGTAATTCATAAGATGTTGTGATGTCTGTTGGTTTTCTAAGATACTCATTTTAAATTGAGCTTTATTGTCAAAACTCTAACACAAAACAATACTGAATTTATAAAAGTGGACTTTTTGCCAGTTTAAGATTACACGACAACATAGATACAAATTGAAAGCACACATATATATGGGCCTAGAATAAAAAGCTGTATAAGCTTCCATCTCAGCTCTTGTAAAGAGGATGAAATGATGTTCTGTAATAACAATGTACCTGTTTGTAAACTTACTCAACAGATTCTTCAGAAAGTGTGTGAATGCATGATAAACAATGGCCTAGAACTGACATATTCGGAGTTTTTAAAGTGTAAAAACCTGTTGTAAATAATTCTTGCACAGGTTCTTCACAGCTGTAAGAATTTGGCAAAGCACAGAATGCTTGCTCAAATATGAACCAGTATTTTTGTCTATGAGCAGCTCAACAGCTTTTTATTTCTAATAAACCAGCTTCTTCTTCATTTTTCCCAAAAGGAACATAATGCTCACAGTAAGCTCGCATTATTCTTTTAAATCTGCAGGGCAATACAACCAAAAATCTTGCACGTGCTTCTATGACAAAATAATTATTCTACTTTGACATATTCATGTAAAATGTATATTTTTTATATATACAAAATCCTTTCCTTTCAAACAATACTGCAAGGTAGGAAAGAGAAGATAATTACCCCATAACTGTATGACAGCAATTTATTAGAAATATTACTGCTGAATTTCAACATTATACATAGTTTCCCTGACAGGAAATTTACCATCACAGAAAAGAAATTTATATACATCTATAGATTTGCAATGATCATGAAGGGTTGACTAAGTAGAGCAGCCTTCCTTTTCTTCTTCTACTGGGCATGTTGTATTCCTGTTTAGAGATCACTGATGTAGAAATGATGCTGGAGGAACAACAGCTCAAAACAAACATACAGGCCAGATTTCCTCCCATCTGCCATCCTGGTGTCACGGTTTGTCTAGTGAATTAAGGAAGGTCCATTTCAGCTCAAGACTGGTCTCCTTAGAGGTTTAGCACTTCTGCTTTACTCTCCAATTTTCCTCCTGTTGTGTCAAAAAATAATTCAGGAAGGGGTGAAGAGAGGAAGGCATGGCCTGGGATGCTCATAAGATTCAGTGAGCTTCTGGGTTTGATGCTGTTAGGCTATTTGCAGCTCAACCAGTGACACAAGGCTGCTCAACTGCTGAAAAATGGGGGACTGCCAGCCCTGAGCTAAAAAAGTCATCGAGGAGGAATACAAAAGTAAGCTCTTCCCATGGTACGTCAGCATGGACGGGGCGCAGAACACATTCTCTGTGACTCAATCTCCCTGCCTTTCATGCACAGCAATCCAAGAACTGAGGATTTAACCAAACTCCACAATTTGGGCACTTTGTCAGAACAGTAAGTACTCCAGAAAAAGCAAAAAAAATCACGATTATTACACAAGGCAGAACATAAGCAACAGCCAACCGAAACTAGCTACATCTTTAACAGACTCCAGACCATTACTATTAAAGTAACATTTCCTCTAACACTGAGAAATAAATGCTTTTCTTTTTTTTTTTAATGTGGCAAACTGTCTTTAAAGATCTTTATGTTCTAAAACTTATCTCTCATTCAAAAAGGATTGTCAATTACTTTTTTTAATGGTATTTGCTTGATGGAGCAGGAGAAAACAAACCTTTACCAGAATGAAATATCATTTTCAGATATTTGCTTAAGTAGTAAGCATCTTAATCATCGGGAAACATCTCCATGTATGTGTGAGAGGAAGGAGGTGGCAAGTGGAATTTTAAGAAGTCCTAATTCATAGGAAAAAAAAATACAGAGAGTTATGCGTGATTTCCAGAGCACAAAAGAGATGTGGTTTAGATTCAAAAGTTTGCTTTTACAAGAATGAAAACAAAATGTCTTTACAGATGTCACTAAGTTTCATAAATTCACTTTGCCATCCTTAGGATGTCTATCACTGTACATGGAGAGGGAAAAAAAAGTTTTTTAATAATGCTAATGGCACTAGACCCATTTGACTATCTAGTTACACCATCTGAACTGGTGTGTCTTCTCTGGTTATTAAAACTATGAATTCAGGATTGCATTTGCTAATGTTTTGTTCCAAACAGCCAAATCTAATCTATTTTAGTTTGATAAGGTAGAATATTTCAGATCAGATAAGAAAGTAAAAACAAAAAAACAAACAAACAAACACCAGTAATCTTTTATATACAAATTAACAGTTCTTTTCTCAGAAATCACATGCAAGAATCAAGGAAAGAAACAGCTCAGTGGACTTTACAAATATCTATACCAATATCACAGACATTGTCATAGAGTCTTGAAATAATATACTGTTTTCAGCAGGTCCTAAGGTGACCAGTTTCTTTAAAATGAAAGAAACCACATAGGCAATCACTGCTACAGGTTGGTGTACTAAAATAAACCAATTAATAAGGATCCAATGACTTAACCTTAAATTATAAAATGGTTTGGGTTGGAAGAGATCTTAAAGCCCACCCAGCCCCACACCCAGCCATGGGCAAGGCTGCCTCCCAGCTCAGCTGCGCAAGACCCCATCCAACCTGGCCCTGAGTTCCTCCAAGGATGGGGCACCACAGCATATCTGGTCAGCTGTGTCAGGGCCTCACCACCTTCATAAGGATGCAAGAGATAAACATCTCCTTTCAGAAACAATAATCTTTAAACATTAGCAGATCATTTTTTATGAAAATCAGGTCCAAAAGTCACTGAGATGTCCTATCCATATCAGAACAATTTGTTTGGAACAATTTAAGAAAACAGCACGCTTCAGTCTTTACTTACCCACCACACATTTGCAAGCTAATGTTCCCTTGGCTGAGGCTTAGAGAGGCTGCTGCAAACCACCCACTGCAGAAATGACTTTTCTGGTGTGACAGGTTACTGCCCTGAGAGCTGCTGGTGTGCATACTACTGCAGGAGGTTACCACCACCAGGCCATCCTGCATCACTGCCACTTGACAGGACAGAGATCACCTGCTGCTCCGTAGCACACGACAATTTGAACTTGGTCCTGCCACGTTTTTGAACAAAACAGGAAGAAACACAAAATCAAGTACAGCAACCAAAGAACGTTATTTTTAATATTAAGAAAAAATATATATGAATATTTCTGTGCTGGATGAGTCAAGCCTTTATTGCTAAACTAGCTTGAATTAAAGCAGGTGAAAAGCTGCTATACTCTAACCAGTGAAAACACAAAATCAGTTTCACAAATGATTTCTTAGCATTCCAGTTACAGCAAGCAGGAGGTTCAGAAAAGCTTATTTTAATTAAAAACTTTATTTTTCATTACAATTCACAGTTTATACACGGCAAGACAAACTCTTGCCATGTGGACATTCAGAACACTGTGCTGGGGAGACAAGGGTCTTTGTTATAAGAGCATTGCTCGGTGCTGTTTCATGGAATTTCTTTAATTTTAAAAGCGTACTCTCTATAAATGTTAATTGACTGATATTTACACTGAATTGACTGAATTTACATATTAACTTATATTTATTAGAAAACAAGCTAAGCATCCAAAAACATTAACATTCATATCTTGCATGTTATCTAATGGTCAGAGATGCTGTAAGATTTGCCACTTGAATCATGCCCAATCAGCAAAGTCTCATTCTTTTTAATTTACACAGAGCCTAAATTATTCTTTAAGGCCTGTTCAATTCATGTTATGTACAGCCACGTTACAGTAGACTAATATAAGAAAAAAACCAGAAAGTTATCCGTTCCATCTTGCATTTCTTCTGAATCTCACGTACACTTATAAGCAAAACAGAGGATATAAAATTAAAGTTAATGTGTTTTCTTAAAACTAATAAAGAAAACCCATAGTCTGGCTTAGATCTGCTTCTCATCAGCCTATCCTGTCTGAACAATCATCGGTATTCAGATTGTGCTATTTCTCAGCTCTTCCTCATGCCTGCACTTATATTCAGAGCCATCTCTATTGGAAATGTATGGAGTCACAGTGATACCAGTTTCAGTCGCATTCCCATATTAGTCACAGCTCCGGCACAGGCAGCCACTGTACAGCGTGACATTCAGGAAAGCACTCCAGCAGGGTTCCTGTGTAAAATATCATATGGTGTGTGGTGCGACTTAAGGAGGAAGTTAAGATCCTCGCTGCACAGCAAATATCTGGCAGAAGGTTCATCTCATTGAAAATGGTTGTATTTTGCTGCATTGGTTTCTGGATGCGGTTATTGGAATACAGCAATTAAAAGCCTCTCCTGCCTCTCCTCAAAACAGCCATCTTTATTTGCTTGTCATCTACCAAATAACAGTGATAGAAAGCTGATTTTTATTTTTTTTTTGGTACATCTGACACAGAGAAGAAAAAATCTGCTGAACACTTCTTGAAAAAAATAAGACCTAAAGAGGATCTGCAGGTTCTCCAAGTCAGTGTGAACAAATATCAGCTGGACCTGAGTAAAACAAAATTCTACTGGGGAACATATTTGCAACTTTCAAAACTGCAGTGCCTTTAAATTCAGAGCTAAGGACATCATTTGATGACTGTTGAGTTTTGGCATTCATTCATGCTGGTTGGTATCTTCAATGCAGACACCTTTAAAACACCATCATTTCAAGAAAAATGAAAGCTCAAATGAAAAGCACTTCTCATGCAAAAAAGGGAAAAAAGAAAAAAGAAAAAAGGAAAAAAGAAAAGAAAACATACAGGAATTGTAGAGGTTCTGGTTCTCCAAAAGATAAGGCACTGACAAAAATTTCTTAGGTAAAAGGCTGCATAAGAATTTCTTGCCATTTACAAATGTGTTGTAGTCCATAAATGGTCCATTCCTAGGCTCAGTAAGGTAGACCCTGAAATATTAAGGACTGATCCCTCAAAGCTACATTGTTACCATAAACAAGTGTGATTCATTCTTTAGGCCCTATGGCACATTAGGAGAAGTGAAAAACAGTCTGGGCAGATAAAGGCAGAAGACGTTGCGTGTTCCAGCATCTTTCGATAACAGAAGTGCCATTCATCTTTGTGTCTTTGAAGAGATGCGATGGTAACTCTGGACTGCAGTTTCTGTGGAACTCATGCACACATATAAAATGCTATTAGCATTGATCTTTGACAGGGTGGAGAAAAAAAAGAGTGTATGGCTAGTCTAAAAGCCAAGAGCTTCTCAAGGACTGGGACCCAACGTCACAGCTACTTAATATTTTCAATGACAGCTATTTCTTCTGCTGCACAGTGTGGTGTCAAACCATTCATGTAAATGCTGTCTGTCTTTGTTAGAGCTGGCAAGAGGTCCTTCTCACTGGTGAGATGGTTGACTGACAGGGTTCTCTTGCAGGGGGTCAGGTCTTGGTTGTGGTTGACAGCGAGCTCAGCAGAGAGCTTTCTTTTGATGGAGGTAGCCCGCTGGAACTTGTCATAGATCTCCACGCTCAGGCGTCTTCGGGTTTCTTTGAACTCCGCGGTGACATTGGCTGTCCACTCTGCAGCGTGGGCTCGGAATTCCCCTACCTGCAGCAAAAACAAGAAAAAATATGCAGCATAATAGGGCTGAGGACTTTAAAGTCCTCATAGGCTTGAAAGCAATGCAGCTTTGGGCTGGCTGGCAGAGAGCTGTGATGGTTGATTTCTCATCCCATATACTTGCTGTTTCATTGACAGCAACAAGAAAAAATGATGCTCTAGTAAAAGTTAATAGCAATTCAAAAAAAAAAAAAAAGAAAGAAAGAAAGAAAGAAAGAAAAATCTTTTCTACTGAAATTTGTTACTGAATTACAGGCAGAGAACAACAGAGGGAACAGAGGGGAGCTCCAGAGCCCTGACAGCTGCCCAGTGCCCAGCTGGTCAGGGCATGCTGAAATCCCAGCAACCCAGGCAGTGCTGTGTGTTGTTATTTATGAGCACTTCTACTGTCTGTGGAAAGATCCCTAGGAGACTTGGCAAAGAACTTTCTAAATTTAGACAGAAAAGCTTTTTTGAAAAGAAAGCATCAGCTGCTGGTATTCTCTCTTTCTTTGTGCTTGCTCAGACATAGTGCCAACACAGTAATAGCTTCAGTCCTGTCAGCAGCATGTCTGTGTACCACCTTGCTTCCTCCAAGGTGACAACAGGCTGCCAGTGAGCACGCTGCACTGTGTGCTATCACCATACAGCTGGAGGGTGGCATGGATCTCCAGCCTGGTTGTCAGCAAGGTGCTAGTTTGCACAGTCATTATCATTTAATGAATGTATGTATGTATGGGAGCAGCCTGGTCTAGTAGAAGATGTCCCTGTTCATAGCAGGGGTTTAGGTGTAGATCATCTTTAAAGTCTCTTCCAACCCAAACCATTCTGTGATTCTAGGTCTGTATATCCCTGCTACATATGTATATTCCTGTCTCTACGCGTCTTTGCCTTAGAGTCTGTCAATATACAGGCTGATCAAGTTCATTAAAACCACTGTAACTTTGACCAACCATTTCTGCATTTCAGTGCTGTGAAAGCTAGAACATGCTGTGAGCCCAGGCTCTGAGGGTACGGCAGAGGAGGGGGAGGGAGGCAGTTGCTGGCACAGGCTCTCAAATTATCATCTTCCTTGGACAGGGCACAAGGGAGACTTGGCAGCTTACCCATATAATAGTCTGAGGTGAACGACGACCTTATCAATTATATGCTATTTATATGTTCTCTCTTGTGTTTTAAGCAAACACTTACTATATTAAATTTCACAGGTAATTAAAGGAAGCACGTTTTGGGGAGAATATCTTGTTATAAGGGAAAAGGTAATAGACTGCTTTTCTTTAAATCTTGGCTCCGTAGGCAGCTTATTAGTTGGAACATATAGCACAGGGGAGATAGACTGCTGATAAATACAACTCCAAAGAAAAGCATTTTAGACGAATTAACCTTCTTAAATACATTAGTCTAATTGGTACTGCTCAGTCCAGAATTTCAATCATCAGTAAGCAAGCCTGGACTTGGTGAGCAAAGAAATCAAATACAAATTAACAAAGAGAAATACGGGGCTAAGCCATCAGAGTGGCCAAAGGCTTATTCATGCTTTGCAGTGCAGTGGAAAACAGGAATATTATGAAGGTAAAAAATTATCAGCTCACTCAGGAGTGACGGGGTTTCAGGAAAAACTTTCCCCCTCCAGAAACAAAACAAAAAGCTCTTTACCCAGGGGTCATTTTATTACATTTGTCTCAGCTTCAGTGAATTACGCAGTTGACTAATGTGGACCCATTATGTGTATTTTCTAAAACGAGGATTATTATCTGTAATACACAGAGGATTCGCCCAGCTGAAAGATTATTAGTATTTAAATTGTGCAATTAGGATCAGCCACACTGCACTTCAGATCTGAAAATAATGAAATCTGCACTGCTGAAACATTTCAGCTGCTGCACTGGTTTTATTTGTAGTAAACAAATAACAAAAGTACGATAAGCAGTATCAGTGCACTGACACCCTTGGGCAGCTTTGTGCTGCTCTAAAGCTCTCCTAAAGGCAAACTGCTCAGATTTTGGAGCACGCTGCTGTCTAGGGGAGCAAAAAGCCCATATACAGCTATTTTACCCTGCACATTTGTAGCCTTCTCCAGCTGTGTAAGACTTTTGCTCATGCACACATCTCTGCGATTGCAGATAATCACATTCAAGGGATGTTATTAGATCAGTAGTTTTAAAACTGTCTTGGCAACCTACTGGAAGTCACAAGCATCTTGAAATGCCTCCCTATGACCTTCCTAACCTGCTTTTTGGTAGTGGATCCAGTTCCCACTTCTCCCGTGTGTTCTCAGCTAATGAAAAACAGCTGGCCATGCTTCTGACAAAATCAAGTATAGGTAACCTGTAGTACATGCTCAGAACTCTCTCAGCAGTCCACCTCACATGTTGATGATGGAGCTGTCTTGCACTAGAAAAGCTGCTCTATTTTAACTTGTATGTATGGGAATTATTCTGGAAATTTTTCAGATTGTTAGGATAGCTAATTGGTAGGTTCTAATTAGATTTCTTTTGGAAAGCAAGTTTATGCAGCTAGATGGAGAACATCATTAATATGCGTTTTAGAGACAGACTCATTTTCCAATTAAGGTGACATGGAACGTGAACATGGTGGTTTCAATCCTATCTGCCCATATATCAGAGCTGTGATGCTGCTTGGCAGGATTTCAATTCTATATTAAAATCACTGGAAAAAAAAAAACAAAAAAAAAAACGCAGTGCTGTTACTAAGCAGAATTGAAATACATTCCTAGTAAAACAGAGGTAATTGGCACAGCATGAGAAACAACGTGGTGCTGTGTGAACTGTGTGTGCCCCAAGATTATTGCTTTCAGCCCCTAGCTTTTGTGTGAACTAAAATGCACTCAAAAATGTTATCCTTCCAGAATAAAACTTAATTCCATAGCACTTACAGATTTAAGTAGAAAAGGTCACAGGAATAGAAATATGCAGTTTTCAACTGCCAGTGAACATAAGCAACTAATAATTTGATCCTTCCTTTATCCATAGGGACCTTTCTGTATACATACAGGTCCATTCTGTCCTTAGGGTATGACATTTCTTCCTATTGCTTCTTTTCATCTGGAGGCTGATAGACGCAAAATGCTTTATGCAAAGTGATTGAAATGCCAGTTGCCTGTGCTGCTCAGAAAAAATCTTAACTTACATACCTACTGTAACACTTGTTTACTTTCCTCAAATTCTCTTGCCCCATTACAGCACACACCTTTAATTTCTGCAGTCACTGTAGTTGGATATTATGATAACATAGTTGGGAAACATGATGCAAAGATATGGTCTCAGTCACAGAAATTACTGACAGCTAAATACTTTACATAAAGCTAAATTGAATTACATGTTTCAGAAGTAACAGGAAAATCACAGCGATATAAGTAACACTAGACTGGTGAAGTTGCCCTTTCCTAACACTTGCAGAACAGAAACGCCACCAGTAACGGGGACTCAGCCATTAGCACAGCTCCAGGATTGACTTCCTCAATGTCAAAATCCAAATCAGATTACAAGATGTCAGATATCCACAGTGATTTCACAAGGAGCGCAACACTTTAACCCATTAATAATGTGCCTTGAACATCAACAACAGGTAACTTTATCAGCTATTTATGAAGCAATACCCTACTGCCTTATGAGACCTGTATCTGCTGGACTCAATGACAAATTCTCAAGACATATGAACGAGAAATATATATATTCCTCATCATAGCACACATCATCATGAAACACTAGACATTTTTCACTTAAACATCATTCCTTGATTCAATTCACTGCCCACTACAGACTGCCTGGCCTTCAGCTACCACTGCAGATGGACCTCTATCTCTATATGTTGTAAGGTGTCTTTCAAAATGTGTGTTCTATTAGAACATAATGAGAAATACCATCTGAATAAATATGAAATGTCTACTTAATCCTGTTAAAGCCTCTTTATATACATATGTATATACATATGCATATATACACACAGAATATACTGCATGAATTTTCTAAATGACCAAAGAGTTCCCAGACCTCACCAAAAATGTCATTTAAAGATGAATATACTGAATATAATGGAACTAGGAAAAAAAAAAAAAAGAAAAAAAAAAGGACAATAAATAAGCATTCTTTCACTTTTCCTGCAAAAAAAAACAAAAAACAAACCAAAAAACAAACAAAAAAAAAACAAAAAACCCAAACATCTAAATTAATATTAACCTAAAACTCTGGTCTAGGCCAAGCCTCTCAGCCAGTATCACTGATGAACTGATAAGATCAACTTCTTCCCTATTAATATTCATCACCACCAATCAAAAAAGAAAATTTGAAGATATTGAAGAATCTGATATGAAGAAATTCTCCATATTTGTCTGGAGTTTGGCGACCTTTCTGGACACTTTATGAACAGATAGCCAAATAATTAACACAAACAGAATTGTCCATCTCTCAGTAAGCACACACAACCTATTAACTGCAATCTGGACAATACAAGTCACGTAACTATTACATGTGAATAGTCCATACTTTGAATTAAGTCACAACTGTAGTGAAACAAACAAAAAGCAGAAATATCTCCTTGAATAGACCAAATTGAATACACGCTGTTCTAAGCTCTCCTTAACTTTGCTTGGAAAATCCCAATACGAAAGTGTAACCAGTTGATCTACTTGTGTTTACACAGAGAGAAGATACGTTGCCTGGAGAGACATACATGAGGTGAAATATCTGATATACTTGGGAGAAGCTATAGCAGTGAGCACCAAACTGTAAAAATAGACATTACATATGTTATACAAGAAATCATGACTAAATGTATTTTTAATTTTTTTTTTTTTTGGCATACAGATTGCATACAATTTAGAATGGCCGTGATGTTAGTACAAACCAAAAAGAAAAAAGAAATAAATAGGGAGCAGCTGAGCGGGAAATATCCATCTGACTATTTTAGAAAAAGAAAAAAAAAATGGCTGTCCTTACTGATACTTTTAATGCTGTAGATGTTCCTCAGTATATGAATTCTAACATTTA